CCGCCTCAGCCTCCTGAGTAGCTGGGATTACAGGCACGCACCACCATGCCCAGCTAATGTTTCTGTATTTTTAGTAGAGAGGGGGTTTCACCGTGTTGACCAGGATGGTCTCGATCTCTTGAGCTCGTGATCCACCCGCCTCGGCCTCCCAAAGTGCTGGGATTACAGGCTTGAGCCACCGCGCCCGGCCTCACTGTTATTTTTTAAGAGCACCCTAGGTGATTCTAGGTGTGGCCAAAAATCACTGAGCAGATTTGGGGGTCAGTCACAGGAAGATCTGCCCTGGGGGCCCTCCTCAAATTTGAATGTTCCCCCAAATCCTCTGGGAATCACATCAAAGGGAAGATTCTGATTCAGCAGATCTGAGGTGGGGCAGATATCTTGTGTTTCTACCCAGCTCCCAGGGATGCTGACACTGCTGGCCCAGGGACCAGACTTTGAGTAGCAGGGCGTTCTAGAACTCAGGAGGCCTGGGCAGTGATTGGGACTTGGAGGCAGGGAGGAGCGTTGGTATGTTCAAGAGAGCTTAGCCTTTGCTGGAAGGCAGCGTTGGCTGATGGAGAGTGTTGCTGAGGTTTGAGCTGAAGCTGGAGTGGGTGGCTTCACAGCAGGTGGGCTTCTCCCCAGCTGCCTGAGGGGTCTGGGCATAGGTCTCACTTGGGCCCGCCAGCCCTGGAGGTTCTTGGTTTCCTAACTTGCTAGTGATGGTCCAGCATTACTTTCTGACAGACTGAAGTTGCAACCCTAGGAACTCAAGGTTGAGTGAGTTTGCAGACTGTTACAGTACCAGCGCCTGTGTGGGGGGCACCCTTGTGCCCCAGCGGGTGCTGCACCAGGAAGCTGAGGTAGGAGGCTGCCAGTACCTTCTCCCCTGGTATTTCTCTCCCTGGCCCTCTCACCCTGATACCCCCTGGTTGCCCACCCTGACCCGGGCACGCAGGCCAGCAGCTCTCCTGGAGGGGGTGGTGGTGGCTGGTGGGCAACAGTCTCTCCCACTTGCAGTTGGCTTGCCCGCCGAAGGGCTGCGTGCTCATTAACTGGTTCCTGTGCTGTTTGCTTGTTGCTATTTGGCTGCTAATAAGCCTAATGAGAACCACACAGGCGGGCAGTGGGGTGTTGGCACTGGATGCCTTTGTCCGGAGCTCCGCAGAAGGGGGGCTCTTGGCTCCACACCCCGTCAGCTGGCTCTCCCCAACCCCCACGACTCCACTTCTTCCTCTCCCCTCCCAACAGCTGC